GTCATAAAAAAATATTTGAATAAGAAAATTACCACAACATACATAAGCGTTAAAAAATATAAGTAATATTATCTACACTTCAAATTACGCCACCATGAAAATTAAATTAACCTTCTCCGATGAGCGATGAACATTTAAACGCACGATAATGTACACAAGCAAAGTACATCAACAACGTTTAGAAATCTCAAACATAATGTAAAAATGTATAAATCATATGTATCAAAATTAATTAATTATTAATTACACAGTTTAGCTTGTAAAATGTATCACTGCAGTGTACCTCCGTCTTCTTAAATTAGTAACATTACTTGTTAATTAATTTACAAAATGTATCTATCTTGAATTAACTTTACGATGGACAAAATACAATTTAAAGAAAACATTTTTGTATATTAAAGCCAAGAAATTTCCCATGAAAAATAAAACCCCAAAGTTGCCTAAATAAATATTTTAATCCCGGATCGCATGAAATAAACAATTGAATAGGTTAATGATTCTCTAAGATTTAACAGACCCATCGTAGGCCACTGAACCTTGTAAAGGGATCATTTATTGATCGATTAAATTTTTATGCAACCAGAGCATAACGGTTTCAAACTTTCAAATAATATTGAATGTACAGTAAAAATTAGTCAAGAATATTGTGAATTCTTAGAGTACCAAACCTTTTTGTATATTAAACGTTATAATATATTTAAATTGTTGGAAAAATTGTATTTATATAAATAATCTAAAAAGAACTCTTCTATAATCGGTGGCTTTGTGGTTTGGAAAATTATTCGTTGAAAATAATAATAATAATAATATTTTTTTTGTCATAAAAATAATAGGTACTGGGTCACGCCGGAGAACGAAAAAGTTGTTCAAAAACGGTTTTTCGCTTGAAATATGTATTAAAAAGTATATATACGAGATAAGAAATGAGAAAAAAAAGGAAAATTTCCCGGCGCAACGCGGTGGCCCCCACGATACGATTTTTCTTCTCCTCAAGGTTGCCATTCGGGCAGCCGTAGTGTCATTATATAACACAAATGCGGCACCGACGCACAACGTGGCAACGCGGCGGGACTGTGGGCGTGGCGTCGAGCGAGCGGCGTTCACTGGGAATAATATATATATATAACGCACGCACACCATACAACATAATAATATATACATTCTACCCAACACGCAGCTGCCGCGCGCGATAGGAAAACGTAACGAAGTGAATGCCGCCGCCGCCGCTGGTTGCGAAGCTATAGCTCGTTCTCAACAAAGCCCGCGTACACATAACTACTCAGGAGCGAGCGAGAGAGACGGAAAAAACGGGGATAAAAAAATAATATAAAATGTTTTTATTTTTTTTTTTAAAGAAAACCCATTGACGCCGACCGTAGGAGAAGCCCTGGCTCGTGCTTTATGATAATTTTTTCAGATACTTCTATTTATTTATTACTATTTAATACGTCCCCAGAGCCCAAACACAATCACCGATTTTCCAGACATTTCGGAACACGTCGATATTACAAATCATAAATGCAACAAAATTAAACAAAAACTATGCGACAATGGATTTAAAAGTAGTAGTTAGACTCACGCACTCGTACACATCGGGTCACGGTGAAAAATATTTATGTGAAAACACAGGTTAATCATGGTATAAAATATTATGCATAAATACACTTGCAATGGATACAAACATTAATTCGGGAAATATAAATGTGTGTGCGGTGGTAGTAAAATAAAAATTATAATGACAATAATGTACCCGCTGCAGACGTTTATATAAATTAACGCGACGATTATCGAAGGGGGCGGAGACACGAACGGTGTCGCGGGACGTTAAAAATAAATATTTGGGAGCATTCCGCCGATCGACTAATGAATGAATCAATTACCGCCCAATAAAAGCGCCTCTAATTCTTAAAAATATGTATACCACTTGCATATAATTATAATATGATTATATAATAACGTAACAAACACACACACAAACATATGCTCACGTATTACAATATTATTATGGATATCGTGATACAGTGTACGGCGGCGATTTTTTTTGTAAAAAACTTGAGACGCGCAGACGAGCAGCGAGTGGCGCATGAAGAACGTGGAAATGCTGCCGCCACGACGACTCTATACATTATTAATACATAATACAAGTATACAACGGAATAAATAATAATCGCTATCGCGCGGGACCGCTTATTTATTGTTATTAATATAATAAGTTATTATTATTGTACTTCCACCGGACGCGATCAGCGGCAGTGGTCGTGGACTCATCGGAAAATGTGTGTTGCGGTCGTCATAATATTCTTATTCTTATTGTTTTTTTATTGTATTCAATTAATATTAATAACGAATTAAGTATTGCTCTCTCCATTCAAACGGCGCAGGTACAGCCGGCACGGATGGACGTAGTGTGGAAATATAATCGCGCGGTTACACACTCACACACGACACGATCGTTAATAACAGCCGGTTATCAAAATCCGAAGAACGGTGAAAACGATATTATTATATTATTAAACATGCACATGCCGGTTTTTTTCCGCTGTTATCTCTTTACGAGTGATATTATTCCTACTATTATTATAATCAATTACTGAGATGCATTTTATTATTAAAACACAAGGAGGAGACATACACGATCAAGTGCACGTTATTTAATAGTATTAAGTACAAAATACATATTAAAATAATACAAACATATATATAATATATAGTATGTGCGTGTACACACCACACACGATGGATAATTACCGCGTAAAATTATATTATTATCCAATATTGTGGTCTCTGCAGTTGAACGTACGTGTATCGTATAACCGACTTGCCAGTAAAACAACGCGACTCTACCCATGTGGCAAATTGATTCGACGGACGACGACGAGAGCCTCACGCGATGCCGATATTATTATTACATTATTATAAGTGACACGACGGAACGCGTCAACTCAGACATTGCGGCAGAATTCGAAACCCAATTGGAAACGTATCGAATTTTAAGAAAAAAAAATTAATATTAATACATATTATTAATGTAAATCGTTACAAATACGATCGTCCCTATTCTAACGATTGCACACCTATTACATTTTTTATTTTTTAATCCGTCCAAAAATACAAGTTTTTGAAGACTTCAAAACGAACGGTTTTCGTATTGTCAGAGCTTTTAATAATTAATTATTCAATGTGTTCACATCTGGAACCCTCCCTTGTCTTTGAAATTGCGGTGTTTGTGGATCACACACGATTGATATAATACAATTTAAAAGAAAAACAACTACCTACAATAACGTGTGCACTGTGCATTTGTATTAGTAAACAATCATTGACATTATATGTCTTATTTTCAAGTTTATATTTTCTCAATTTGTTTTTATCGTTACTTGAAACGCTAACAAGTTTTTTAATAATTAAAATCCGGAGTACGAGTTAACTACTTTAATACTATATACACTTTTAACACATGCTTCTCTCAATAAACCAATCGAAGTAATACTTTTGAAGTGCTTTTAACACAGACAACGTATCATATTTTCCGTAATCACTACGTTCCGACGAAACGATAAACCTATGAAACGATGATTATTATTAAATGCTATAAGGGGTCTATCCATAACTTCAAAAGTATTCGATATTACCTACATCAATTTTACCTCGATTTTTACACAATATTCAAAAATTCAGTCGTGTATTGTATAGAAACCCATCAAATAATTATTCAATTTTAACAATAAAATAAACTAAATTACATTATTTAGTTAGATTTGATTACTGTTAATATTTAGATGATGGACATGACAATATTGTAGGTACTCGTTATAAAAATGATTTCCAAAATAAAGAAATATATAGAATTGGAAACACTATAATACGTATATAAGGAAAACAACAATTTAATTTAATTCAGTTTATGAATTATTAAGATTATCTGACTGTCAAAGTGATATTGGTAAGTTATGTTCCGCTTCAATAATTAATTCATTAGGTTGTTTTAAAAATTACATAAAATAAAATAGTTATAACACTTTAGAGTTAATATCGGTATTATAAATAATACTTAATATTAATTTTAATTAATTTAATTAACTAAATATTTATGATAAGAAATGAGAAATTGTAAATTATTTTTGATAGTTAATGTATTATCAAATAATAGATACTCCCTAAAGGTATTAGAATTTTAGGTTAGCAAGTACCTATAAAAATAAAATAAATGCTTCACCATTGTAAATTAAGTACTTTTGGACTAGCATTAGAGGGACAAAATATATAAGATGCCTAAAGGAAATATATTTTGTGGCTTAATGAAGTTCCTTTAGAAATGTTCAGATGAATACTAAAATATAATATTATAGGTACCGGATGGATACCTATCAAAATGGACAGTTATTAAATATTAATTAATACCTAAAATAGATAAGTATATACCTAATAACATTTAATTGTGCTTTAAATATTCCAGTAATATGATCTAGGTACCTAAGATAAAAAAATGATAAAATATTTATAAAAGAAAAAAATGTATAAAGACCAACAAATTCAGTATTAATGGTATAATTCAAACAGCAGATGCTCTACTAGTTAAATTAGATTTATGATAATACATTATACACATTTGATTTGAAATAGTCTAATTTGTATGTCATGCTTAACTACAAACACAGTACCTATATTAAAGTTAGATTAACAAATTAGGAAAAATGTAAGACAGGACGTATTACTTTTATTTTATATATTCAGACTACAATAAGATTAAAGCCCGTGTTGAGCCATGGATACTAGGATTCACCCTGCTTGGTATCGACTAGAGTAAGGGAGTAACTAGTAAATTCAGTGCTCAATCTCTCCTAAATATTGAATAACATAGTATTTATTGAACTTAGGACAATATTCTAAATGAATATTGATTAAAAAGTTTGGAAATCAGCTAAGATGAGATAAGAGTAGAAAAATATTTGTATTTAAAAGCTTTAATGCATTTGCAAAATAATTAAAATATAACTGACCGATGGTGGCATATTCCTATAAGGCATGCCATGTTGAGGAGGGAAAGGTGGCATGTTGTGTCTTGGCGGTGGCCAATTTTGGTTGTAATGTTGCTGTTGTTGATTTTGAACCGGTGGCGGTTGAGAACCATCAGGTTTGGGATACTCATTGCCGTAATTATTCTGATAACGTGTCGCCGGATTCGATGACTGCAGCAGCTGGTTGAGCGTGGGTGTTGGTCCAGTCGGTTGAGATATACTCTGACCAGACAAGTACTGCCGCTGGGGAAACATAGCTCCTGGCGGTCCTGGCACCCGCATCATCGGTTTGGGGTAAGCATGCCTGAACTGGCCAAAACTGTTGGGCTCAGCATTGCTATTGGCATGGTGCTGTTCTGGAGGTGGTTGATGGTGACCAAAACTGTTGCGATAGCCACCAGGAGGAGGCGGCGGATAGCCATCCTTGTCAGGCGGCGTTTGTTCGAAATTATTAGTTTTTGGCATGTCACCGTCACCGGTCGGCTGGTCACCGTGCTCCGGCCGGCCGTACAGCTGTCCACCACCGTTTCCACTGCTCATGCCGTCGTAGTTATGGTGGTTGGTCGGCACCTGCTGCTGCTGCTTACCTTTCGGCGATTCAGGCGCCAGCAGGCTGCTGCCACTCATTGGCGCCCTGCGTTCGTGGCTGCCGTTCTGGAAACCGGGCACATCCAGCGGCCTATCTTGGTCGCGATTGTTCACGTCGCCGCCCGGCTGGTTTTCCGCGTGCGTAGCAGCCATGTTAGACGACGTTACAGGCAGCAGAACGTTTGCCAACACCCCGCCACCGCCACCCGTCAACGACAGCGTAGTACATAGTAACACGAGTCATCTACGTTATGCCCGCGCCGTTCGCACTCGGCAAACCGAATATTAAACATAGCAATGGCGCAGCGTACATAATTACCACACGACGTGTCCACTGCGTCCGTGCACGTCGGTGTCCGCACCGGCATCGGACATGGCCCGTTCGTTGGCACTGCGTGTGCGCGGCGGCGGTTCGACAACGGGAAACAAACGACGACGACCACAACAACGACGACGACAAACGGCGGGCGAGAAACGCGAAACGAGGTTAGGACGGCAAAAGGTTACGACGCACCTCTCGGACGAATATCCTATTCCCGGGGTATCGGCGGCGGCACACGGACGCCACGAACGGAGAAAACGAAATCTACAGTAATTCGATTCGGCCGAGGTACGCCGAGCGGACGAGGAAAATATTATCGCAACGCACGGCACAACAATAATCGCGTACACGCACACGGCAGACCGCGCACAGCACTCGTAATTCGTATACGAAAAATAATAACAACACTAGAAAATCATACGTGCCCGTGTGTGTATATGCAATACCCTTTTTCCAATAAATTTCGGTCGAGTAATACGCCGCGCACACTCACCGATTATCTCCCGTAGACTCTGAACGGAACAAAAATGTACGGCGGCCTACAGTGTGTACTCTCGGCCCGGCCTCACGCGCGCGTCCCGTGGCCACTCTGTAACGGGTGAGACGACGCCGCCGCCGCCGCTCGCTTGTGCTGCTGCCGCCGGCCTGTACATCGACATTTTTTGTTTCGTCTATGCTACGTATTCACTTCATCGTGCGTAGTAAAATAATATAAAGCTAAAATGTTTATTATTTCTGCTCTCGGAACGACGGCCGTACGCTCACGAGCAAATAATGTTTTTCAGATCCGTCCCGACCCGGCACATTACGCGTCCTGAAAAACTTTACGATTTTCCCGGCCGCGCTGATTGTCATTGTTCCACCCGCCCGCTGTTCACGATTTTTTATTCCATTTTTTAGCGCGCGCATCGATAAAAACTATTATCCGCCGGCCGATACGACGCGCGCCATCTACCCGAAAACCACCGCGGTCCCGGCGACGCGGCTGTGGGTGGCCACGACGACGCCGGTCACGAACGATATAATATTACGATACACTATAATTTTTAAACGTACGTGCGGCCGCGGTTGGCCGTTCCAACGGTCGGTCGCCCGCGTCTTTGCGTTTTTTTTCGGCTCGGAACATTCGTTTGTTTTTGCGCCGCCGCGTTTTTGCACCTCTCGCGACCACACGCACACGCACACGCATTGTAATATCGCCGTCGCCGTGCGTATAATGATATTATTTTATGCCCGTCGTCCCAACGGCACGTTATAACCGGCGGCGGGCGCGTTCCGAGTGTTGTTGCCATTTTTCTTTAGACGGCCGAAATTTTTTTCACTCCTTTCCCCCGTCATAATGACACGATGACAAACTCTGTTCGTTATTATTATTTTTATCGTCGTAGCCGGCGCAGAAAACCCGCACAGGTCGATCTACACATCATAACATTATATTATTACAACACACTGTTCGCTTTATACGAAATGTCTTCAGAATACGTGTATTGTACCTCTCCCTTTTTCGACTTGTTCTCAAACTTATTAAGGCCAAGATCTCTATTCTCTACATTATAATATTATTATTATTATAATTATTGTAAAATATATCACTGTAGGTACCTATTATGACAATGACACGGTTTCTTTCTTATATCATTATTATTTATACTATCCGAACCATTATATTGTACATCAAAATTACAACAATTAAATCGTTCGAGAAGTGCACTAGTCATTTTAAATAACACTTGTCTCTAGTTTCATTTATCTTATTATTATCAATCATAATATTAATAAAAAATATTACTCAAAGGACGTCCGTAGATCTGCTTTCCATTTATATAACTTTAAATTATCAATGTTTGCTTAATTTTAAGTTTATTTAGGTAGGTACCTAACATCCTAAAGCAAAATATTGATTTTTATTCTACTTGATTCGCATGTGTGCTAAATTCACAGTACCCATCTAAAACAATCATCAAATTACACACTTAAATAAATACATTACATTATATATATATATGATTGAAGGATACAAATAGAATACAATATTATATAGGTAGGTCATCAAATTAAATAATTGCCAATTACATAAAACAGCTATACAACAATAATGAATTACTTTTGTGTAAACAATATTACATAATATCATTTATCAGTATTGATTTGAATGAAATATGAATGTTTTAAAATAAATAAACATTTGAAATCAACATTAATTATAGGTCTGTGATGCAAATAATTAAATATTTGTGTATCAAAATGTACAAACAATAATTTAAAACTGTGCCATTTAAATTATATTTAATATGTATAATATTAAAATTGTTTAATATTAAGGTGTGATATGTATAGTAACTATTTTTAATTTAAACAAAACTCAGTACTGTCATTATATTTCATAGTACTTGAATGCTATACTGCAATACATTATAAACAGTAAATAATGTTTTAAACTTATTACTTTTTCTATAAAAATAAAATTTTTAAATAATCCATTTGTACAAAAAAGGTTTCAGTTTACATTTATAAATTATACGATACAACATTATTTAAAGTAAAATATATGTTTAAAATGTTTGATAATAAATTTGATGAAGATTAAATATATTATACATATATATATATAAATAATAAAAATATATATATTATATGAAATTATTTATAATAATATAATAATATACATTTTATATTTACATGAATATTAAATATAGAATATTATTTTTTAAATACTTTTACTGAAAAAATAAATGTTTAATAATTTATATACTTGAATGGTCCTACCACAATTATTGATTTATTCACATATGTGTATTTATTAAGTTAGGAATATATAAAATATTTTATGTTTGTTTTATGAAACAATAAAACAGATTATAAACTCATCTAAAGTTGTTTAAATATTATTTTTAACTTATTATAAAAAGCTATGAAGTATCAACCCATTGTATAGAAATGTATAAATAGATAGGGTGATAAATAATTTTCAGTATTTATAATAAACAAAATCACTTTTAACAAATTGTATACAAAATTTTCAATCTTGTAAATTTTATATTAAATAAACAAGAAAACAATTTAAGTAGCACAGATAAACTACAAAAATATATTTTTTCATACCATTAATTAACTATATTAATTCAGTTTAAATAAAACAATTATGCAGTTCCCATAGCTTGCATAGTCATAAAAATGTAAATATGTATTGTACAGTTATAATTCATAGTATTTACACTATCCCAGATCACCATGATTTTTCAAAGCAACTAATTTATTTCTTCTTTTGAGCAGTACCCCTGGCAGTCCAGGCTTTTTTCAAATTTTGTGCAAAATATATTGAGAATCCATGAATTTGAACTGCTATAGCAATAAATATATACCAAAGTATACCATAGGGGAAATTCTGAAATTAAAAAAATTAATTAAGTACAAATAGATAATTATCAATTCTATAGTACGATACTTACCCGCCACAGTTGAATAGATTCAGTCGAGGGGCTTTCTGTAATAAAAGTATAAACTTCTGGAAGGTATGTAAAAAAGCCATAGACTACTGGTAGAACACCAAATGAAATAATCCATTTGATGTAAAAGGAAATATTTTTTATACAATTATGTTTGATTGCACGTAATGCCAGAAAAGATGCTGGCAAACTCAAACACCATAAATATTCCCAAAGCAATGGCTGAAATAATAAATTATATTTACCTTTGTATATCCAGCCAAGTTAACTCAGAAAATTAAAATGTATACTACCAATACTTAAAATTATAATATAAAATAGTTTTTATTATTCAGTATTATAAATTGTATTCAGTAAGAAATTATTTCATTCTCAAATTTCATTACCTTAGGAATTTCAAGTTCTTCAATTTCTAATACAAATATATCCAATCTATCCAAAACATCTGGGCATAATTTTGCACCCATAAGAAAGAATAGAATATAGTGAAATAGTATACAGTATTTAAGTCGACTTTTGTTTTGTACACTAAAATTAAAATCAATTATTAAAAAAATATTTTAAAATAATTTACTATAAAGCTTAAAATATTATTAATTACATTTTTTAAAACAAAATTTATTGATTGGAGTATATATATGACAATAAAAAATGCATTAAACTACTATTCATGTACATTGTATAATATAATAATAATTAATTTGTAGAGTATGTAGTAAGTAGGTACCTGATTTTGTAATGGTCGGCAACTTTTTGACGATGAGAAAAATCTGAGCCGTCTGAGCCAGCAATTGTTGGGCCCTTCGACGACATTATCTGGTTTTGAACTGTTTTACTTAGAGAGTAAAAAATAAACCTAATAACGAAAAACTGTTACATAAGAACAATGTTCACACAAATAATATATCAAAATACATTGAGCTACATTCTCAAAAATAAAACTGCCAAAGTGGTCGGGTAATCGGGTCTCTGCTTAGTGATAACAGCGAATTCTTAACCTAAATTTAATCTGCATAAGCAGCTGTTTGCTAGCGTCAGCATGTAGCTAGTGATAACTATTTTTTATACAATTTTGGTTTAATTTTAGTTCCGTATTTTATAGAATTATTTTTGTGCGAGCATTGGGCAATACCTAGGCTTTGGAGTAGGTACATCGTATATCATGCTAAGGTGGACATGCTTAATATGTATACTATTTAGTTATGTTGATTATTTGGCTTGGTTTGGCTTGGGGGCCAAAATATTCGAACCGTGGTTGGGAGGCATACAAATACCTATTGAAGTTTAACGTTAACAGTTCAAATTGCAATTTAATCAGTCAATATTTGAACTTGTAATCATTTCTTAGATTTATTTTCATTGGAATAAATTTTAATTTTTGAGTAAACAAAAACTGTAAATGTATTATTTTAAACACGCCCTGATCTAGGCGTGCGCACAGGGGGCACCAGGGTTCGGACCTCTCACCCAAGGTCCTAATTATTAAATAAATAGACCCCTAGGATTAAGTTTTCGATATTTTTTGGTTTAATCAGCTAAAGTATTAAGTTTTTGAAGCTTCACTTAAGATAAGTTCTACAAATATAAATACCGAATATCAAAAGCGCATAGCTAATAATAAATTATCTTTAGTGAAAGTCGTCAATGAAACAACAAATTTCGTTTTTTTATCAAAAAAAGACCGGCTGTGTTGAAGTCGTTTACTGAAAATTTAAAAAATTTCTAAAAAAATGGTATGTTACTAATTATTTGTATAGGTATTTACCCCTATTTTTTTATTGTTTTCTACATAACTAACTTAGTATTAAGTGTACATAGGTACACTTATTTTTATTTAGATGGAGATTTTGATAAATTTTCACTGGAAGAATTATTAATATTATAAACAAATGACCTGTATCTAATGGTTTTCAAAAATCTTGTGAACCCTAATATTTAATGAGTACCCCAGGGACCAAAAATTTGCTCACGCCAGGAGCGTAGCTGGACATTTTGAAGGGGGATGTTATTCAAAATTAATTGACAAAATTATACACCTATGTTTTTTTATTAATTTACATGAGTTAATTAACTTTACTTTTACGGTATTGTACAATCATACA